CAGGAGAGAGCGAAAGAACAGGGATGAGCACCTGCACGTGTGGAAGCGTACACACACACACACACACACACACACACACACACACACACACACGCACACTCGTGGTAACAGCTGTAAGGACACTGGACTTTGAGAGAAAGAGGAATGAGTGGTATGTGGTCTGGAGCTCAGGGAGGTGCTAAATGTGCAGCAGCTTTGAGGACGTGCTGTGGCATTTTCACTTCAATAAAGGTCGACGATGTACAGCACCTCGTGGAGCCTGAGGCTATGAAGTGATTTATGTCACACTTTGTGTGACATGTTATTGGCTGATTACAGCACATTTTAAATAACAGTCTTCAAGGGTTTTGCACATCTATATTTCAAAGCCCTTGGCCCAAACACCAGCATAAAGAAAGCCCGAGGCTAGTTTAACCTTCTTTCACACTGATATTTATTAATCCTGGACTAACATCCATTAAACCCAGGGTTCATTTTTCAAAGCACACAGTTTGTTGAGATTTAATTGCTCATAGAACGTTCTGTCACTTAAGTTCTTACCTTGATTCATGCTAGGGTTGTGTGTTGGCAAGAATCTGGGGATACCATACATATCACTACATGAGGGTTGCGAATCATCGTATCGTGTACACTGCGATACTGTTAGCAAGGCAGTACATTGCAATTTTTCAAAAATCTAACTTTAGGAGCTAGCTGTGCACCCTTTATGACCATGCCTGCTTCATAGGCCTGTGTTCTTTGTGTTAAAGCTAGAGATATGTTATGTTAGACATGTCTGCCTTCTCTCCAATATAATGGAACTAGATGGCACTCAGCTTGTGGTGCTCAAAGTGCCAAAAAAAGTTTTAAAACTCAACAGCAATGTTTCTTTCTAAAAATCATGACTTGGTTACTCAAGATAATCCACAGACCTTGTTGTGAGCAATTTCATGGAGGAACTATTCTCTTTCCACCAAACTGACCTGCCAACTGTATGACCACGCAGAAGGAAGTGTGCATCTACTCATGGACTCATAACTTGTGACAGAACAACATGTGAACATTAATGGTGTCTTCCTTGGCTGAGCTGTAACATTAGCTAGCTCAGTGTTGCTAGGTGAGCTAGCAGTAGATGCACACTTCCTTCTGACAGTGACATGTTTATACTCTAACACCAGGGCTAACTACCTACCCTTTGATACAAAAACAATGCTGCTGCATTATTTCCATATGCTGGGTTTGGTTGAAGGTGGCAGTGCTGTTTGGGCTGAGAAAGCCATGCATAAGTAAGGTAAAGGAGGTTATTGGGTTGGTGCAGGGAGGGGAGCAGTGAGACCTGGCATTAGAGGAGTGTCTCTGGGACGCTAGAGATCACTGTCTAGCCTCCTGGAGGTGTCGTGGGACCAACTAGACGAAACACTGGTGAAAGGAGGTTCCCACCCGATGACCCCAAAGACATGCTAGTTATCACTGCTCACTGGTTTGTATAGTTAAGCCTTGCCATATTAGCTTATCATAGGGCTTAGGTTTTTCACTGAGTGTTGATCCTTTCTCTAGAGCACAAACTTCTTGTGTTTATTTGAACTGCTCTACATGTCACATCAACCAGTGAAGATACTTTTTACTTGCAATGTGTTAGCTTTACCCGCAGTCTTTTAGCATTATATCAAAGTTGTATAGAGTTTCCAACCAACTTATGGAGCTAACGTTGTTTAGCCGGTTAGCTACAGTTTCTAAAATCTGCTCGTGACAGTTGTACTTTCAGTCAGCTAAAAATCACTGTACACTGCAGTGCCAGAACAGACAGCTTGGAGACGAGGCTTGAAAAAAAGTACAATTATAAAATGACAAGCACTAACCACAGCAGCTACAACCCCTATAGTCTGTCTGAGTTGGCAGTTCAGCGTGCCGAGATGCCACCAAAACATGTGGAAGCATGGCTATACTACATGTCTGTGGTGTCTGTTAGTATTTTATGCAACTGGATGCTTCCATTTTCAAATTAAGTACTCTATTGGTATCAGTATCACTTGAAGGGTACTGGTATCACATTTTTTACAACCAAGCCAAAAGCCAAAACCCAGTTTGGGAATGGAAGCCACTTCACTGTCATGTCACCTGTGTAATATTAGTCATTATAAAGAGCAAAAGTGACGTTTTTAACTTGTCATTGTTGACTTATCCACCAATATGTTTATCTATATATGCATATGCTGCATTGAGCCAATTACAGGGCCAACACATATGGGCAATGTAGAGTCACCTATTCACCTAACATACATGTCTTGTGGACTGTGGGAGGAAACCCACACAAGCACAGACAGAACATGTAAACTCCACGAAAAAGGCTCCAGATAATGATTAAATCAATACAATAAGTGAGAGTAAATAAATAATTTAGCATGTGATTATTGCTTGTCATCGCTACAACTATTTGGGAAGTGTAAAATCATCAGTCCTAAAGTTATAAACTCTGTCTCAGATTCTTAAAAATACATTTTGTGAGCTCATAAACAAAAGGACGTTTTTAAGAGTGCAGAATAACAAGTGATGTTCCAACTAAAAAAGGAGAGGCAGTGTGTGCGGAGGCCAGAGGAAGAGCAGATGCTGATGTTTTTTCTGCCAACGTGGCAAAACTCAGGAAGAGCGAGGGAGAGGGAGAGAGAGAGAGAGAGAGAGAGAGAAGAGAATATTTCACTGAGTGGATCATCCTGTCTTCACACATAATGCATCCCCAGTGTTATTGCTGGCAGGAAGACAATCCAGATGAGGGGAGCATTCCAACACGCTGCCCCTGTCAGTGCACACCTTCAGCATGAGCATCCAGGATCAGATGCCTGGGCTGATGAGAGAGGGGAGACGGCCCAGGAAGGTAACTGGAGTTATGCAGACTGCTGATGACGAGGACTGGAGCCAGTGAAATTTTGGCAGCCGATTTTGACTAACACGACTAACAGCTGTTTGAAATCTTCACATTGAATTTAGAGTTTAGGAAGATAACAGCTGGAATGACCTCTGATTCACTACAATATATTCCTAAAATAATACAAGAGATGTACGATAGTGAAATATCTAAAAAGCACTGCTTAATTAAAGGGCCAGTTCACCCAAATTATTAAAAAATCCCATATTGTTCTATTTACCTAGTATCTAGCTATGCAGATAGTTTTCTTTCATGTGCCAACGTTTTAGGAGAGCTTAATACCGAGAAAGTGGAGTTTAGTTTGTGCTGCCAAAAGCTCTAAAATAGACTTTAAAAACAGAAACATTTCTCTCCAGAAAAAGAAACATATGATTAGAAGTACATAAAAAAAAACATCTGTTGTTTTGTTATTGGGGAGAACCGACCCTGTCTGCTAAACTCACTGTTTCCAGGAATCTGCAAGCATTGAAGGGCATGAGCACAAACTACTTGAAATATATGCTTTTCCTTTTCTTTTTGAGAGTGAGATATATCTGTGTGTTGAGAACAGAGCTGGAGTCAGGATGTGGTTAGCCTAGCTTAGCATAAAGAGACCAAACATAGACCTACAACACCTCTAGAGTTCGCAAATGATCTTATCTTGCTTGTTTAATCTGTAAAAAAACAAAAAACCACAACATCACTGTGCTGACAAGACACTGAGAAGTTGTGCACAGTCACTGCACTACACTGTTGTTAACCAAGAAATAGTTAAGGCACATAACTTCCCCAAAAACTACAAAATGTCATTTTCAAACCTTTGTCTCTGTACGGAATAAACGAGATACAACATGTTAATCAGTTAGTGTTGGCAGGTGTTGTTGTTTTTGGTAGTTTGAAAGCCAGACAGAGCCAGGCTAGCTGTTTTTCCAGGCTTTATGCTAAGCTAAGCTAATCATGTCCTAACTTTATCTCTGTAGTGGAGCTACGGACAGACATGAGAATGATTTGTGCCTTTCAATGGGGTTGTTAACTGTGTTCACAAGAAGAGTCCATACGTGTGCCCCCTCTTATGGTATTTGCAATCTCGTAAGGGGAGTGACTGTCAGAATCCATGAGTTGTGACATGCTTGCTGACATTTTGACGGTGGATGATAGGTTGACATATTGGAATTTTACTTGTATTGTGTTGTCATCTTTTCCTCTGTCATTATGCCTTTGCATTTCCTGCATGATGCTACTCGCTTGGTAGCTTGCTAAACTGTTAGCCTCAGTGGCTTACGCAGACAGTAACATCCATGCTGTTGCCCAGCAGCGGTGCTCTCACGTCTTAACCACTTGAACACTGAGCATATTGTGTGCACAACCTACCATGGTGTAACCACAAGCTCATGAGTTCCACTTCAAGGCAGCAATTGACCTTCTCTTCTCACTCTCAGAAAGAAAGCAAGTGAGCGTATTACTTCTCAAAATGTTTAAGCATATCATCTGAAGCTTTTCTTGAGAATTTTCCCGTAAAGATGCTAACTGTAAACACTATTTCCTTGACTAAACAATCGGTGAACCAGACCAGGGATGGGAGGTTTAAGTTAGATATTGACTGTATACATTTAGAACTGGCAAGATTAGGCAAGTATTTATGTTTACACCAAAACTGCCTGATATGTCTTAAAGAAGGGAATCATCCTTGTATCACATTGGTCAGACATTTCAACTCAATTTCAAACCAACAATACATTTTTAGTCATTGCCTGATAGTGAGAAATTGGGCAATCCTATATACAGGTTTTGATCATTTCCATAATGTTGACACATATCGTTTGACTTGAAAGACAATTTTGATAATGGAGTCATGGTTTAATAAATTTATCACGTAAAAATACCAAACATCCTCCTTAAATGTGACTATCTGTTGTGTCTCTGTCTGACACCACTGTTAACTGAATATATTGGAGTGTTGGACTGCTGTTTGGACAAAACAAGTGGTTTGCAGACGTCTGCTTGGGCTCTGGGAACTTGATTGGTGTTTTGTTAACTATGTGTTGAAATGTCAGGGACTAAATCATCATCAAATGCTGATAAAGTGCAGTAGCCATATGAGAGCAGCACGCATACTCACCAAGGGTCCTAAAGGGCCTCTGCTGGGGCACCAAGGAGAAGAAACCAGGCTTCAGGGCGTTTGTGATGATGACATCAAAAAGCTCTTCGAAATCCTTCCTGTAACAGCCAGAGAAACAACATTAACCTCTGTGACAGGCGCCTGGCCGCTGTGTCAAGGACAATGCCTGGACAGCTTCCAAATGTACTTGAGTTACACAAGCACAAACAGCCCAGTGAAGCTAAACAGCCCGTACAGATGATGGAAAACATGGAGCAATAAACAGTGTTCACATACAGGGCTGCAGAGGGAATACTGAGATTAATAAAGTAAACACTTCCACTCCCACAGAGCTATAGTCATGAAGTGATAGTGAGCATGTTGAGAGCTGGAGCATGTCTCCAAGGAGACATACAATACAGTACTGTCTGTATATGTGCAGTCTACATGAAGAGGATCCCTATAGAATCTTCCATATACAGTGAGAAAGTCTTATGAAACAGGAAGGGCTTCTTTATGGGAACCTAAAAACATGTGAACCAATCAGTTTGGTGCATGGATGTCTGTATATATGCTAAGCTGTTTCATCACATATATTTATCATGACAAAACAGCTTGCCATACTTACTAAGTATACTTTATAAAGGCTACTATTACAGTTTATTTATGTTATATTATAACTTGAATGACTTTGTTTGGCATTCGTCATTAACCTGTATCTTTTCCTGTATCCAACCTTGGCTTCTATTTAAACAAAAACTAATCAATTATTACAATTGTTAATGGTAGTATGTATTATGCAGCAACTGATCTCCGGTTTATGTTCAATAGCCAGGCACCACAATATTTCCAGGAACTAGCATTCTGGAGACTACTGGGCCTTTTTCACTGTCACTTTTGGCCACACTGAGTCAAGCCATGCTGCACCGATTTGTGTTTCCATTATCAGTTAAGACACGCAGAGGGGGACCTTCTCCTGAGGAGGTCCAAAAAGCCAGGCTGCCCACCTCAAAGCGGGTAACAGTGACGTCTCACCGACCTCAGCCAACCCCCAACGGCACCCCTTCATCCACCGAAATAAGCTTGTGTTGCAAGACTCTACTCAAGCTGCAGCAGAAAGAGATGTTTTTAAAAGTCTCTGTGTGTTCAGCTCTCACTGCTTTTGTAGATTGGAATCTCTGTGGTTTGGAGTTTAGTTTCTCTCCTGCGTCCTGTTTTTACTTTAGATATCTGCTTTATTTTACTGTTTCATGTTCGCTATCAGCCGTATTAGAAGCTGTGTGAAGTTGCTGCATGAAAACTAGACATTTCCTTATTTCTCTGCTTCACAACACAGGTTTTTACATAACAAAATAAATGAGGACTTTTATTGTGATGAATCTACGGGAAATGAAAAGTGTTTATCACTGAATTAGCAGAACTTTGTTAGCAGCTTTTCTTCAATAAAGGCAAGTGTAATAATACAGCAGGGAGGAAAGTGAAAGCAGAAACAGCCACAGTGAGATGTTGATGAAGAGCTGCAGACAACAGGCTCTTACTGCACTTCTGCAAACAGCTCACCTGCAACAGGTTAACTTCTTGTACCTGCCCAGCTGTGGGAAAACACATGCAGCAAAAATAACAGGGGACTTAAGCTGTGGATCAGCCTGCTGTTTTTAAACGTCATCAATCAAGACTTGCCATCATCAGCTAAAGACACACCCTCAAGAAGGTAGCCCTGTTGTGATGGAAATGCAAATCCCTGCTGCACTGCGCTGACAGCCCAAACCAAAACAAACCAAACCAAAACAAAGGCAGCCCATGACTGTTAGTAGTATAGTACTGGTAGGCATTGTCAAAATTCAGAAATATGCTTTAATGTGCATAATAAAGACTAGACTTTAACAGAAACTGGACTCAAACCATACGCATTGTGCGACCCATAGCAGATTCAAGTCTGGTCATTCCACAGCTGCTCTCTAGAGGGACCTTTAACACCACATAGTGCTAGTAATTCTGACTGAACTGTAGAGGCTAGAGGAAGTGGCAGAAAAACACAGAGATAGATGATGCGCTCCATTTGCACTGGGAAGTCTGAAGCCTGACTTGTTATTCTAGAACACGATCAACTTGGGAGTGACGTAATTCCCAGCTCCAACCTCCAGCTTCCAAAGTAAATGGATCGCAGCAAGTGACACCACAAGTGTGCTGCTCAGAGAAAAATCTAACATTAAATAAAAGTTTTAAAAGGCCTTCACAAGAACTGTCTCAAGAGTCATTAATTACACTGATTAATTTACTTTTCACCATGTTATTGGGTGTAAGATGAGAAGGCTATTTTGATGTTGATGTGCCTGTTTTGGGACATCTAAACTAGTCTTAAGTATACTGTGTTACAATTGCTTTTACATTGTCAGCGCCTTAAACCCCTGACCACCAGGGCACTCCTTTAAAACTAAATTCAACAAATGAAGATATATACAGTTCAGTTTTGACTATCTTTAATTTGAATTTCAGATTTCTAAAGTCACAAAAATTCTTACAAGACTGTACTTAAATGATCAAATCTGCATCGTTAAAGAGAGCAGAACTACTGTACAGTAAGCTTAAATAAAAGTTAGCCTTCAATTCAAGTTTGGCATCACACTTTACCAACTTGTACCTAATGCATGTATTTAAAGTCAGAGAAAGTAAAGCTGGAGAGGTGGTTGTTGAAACACGAGGTTCAGCCCACCGAGACAGTGCTGTTTTCTGGCAGAATAGTGGCACAAAAAGCAGCTGTTTTTTACCTAGACATCCCTGCCTTTCCAGCAGGGATTTTTAGCCAAAACATGATATTTTCCTAACCGTAACCACATGATTTTTGTCCCTCTACATAACCACACATTCAATCAGGACCACTTTAGTCAAAGAAAACTTTATTACCATTTGCAGTATTATATTTGGCGGTATGGCTCTGTTCTGGGGCCTCTCTGCCTTTCCTAAGGTCTATGTGGAAAGCCTGAGGTGGAGAGAGCACACCTCTTCACCTGGAAAGAGGGAAGCCTAGGGCAAAGAGAGAACACCTCTCTGCCCTTACATGTGCAACTGAGGAAAGCCTGAGGCAGAAAGAGCAGACCCCCCTGCCCTTCCATGTGCCTACATGGAAAGCCTAAGGCAGCATCAATGACAAACAGGTTTGACATTGATAAGTCAGACACAGCATGAAAAGGAGGAGCTGTGGTGGAGGTGGGTTGCAAAGTGGCTTGCAGAGGAAGCAGCAACAGTAGGCAGGCCAGAGCAGTTTAAATAGGGCGCCCTGAATGAGATTCACCAATTGGTTGCATAGTAAAGAATCATGTGATCTATCAGACTCCCTTCCCTCAATCAGCTGATCCATCAGTTGATTGGCTGTTTGAGATCAGCTGAGGTGGCTGGGACATGAGCTGAGCTTGACATAGTGTTCTGCCTGAACTAATGCTGAACAGTTGCTAATATCCTGAACTGAGTCACAAGTAAAGTAGAGATATGCCGAATGTGATTAAAAGGTATTTTGCCTAGTAAAACTGTGTTTGAAGATATCTTGAATTAATCTTGCTTCTCTAACTGTGCCTGCAGCCATCTCGAGGCTAATTTTACACAGTTGGAGAGGATCCTGTCTGGACTGTTAACACTTTATTTCAGGCAAAAAATGCAGCACATCACATCAGAAGACTTAACAACAACTAACAAATCAATAAAGTATGCAGCACTCCAGCAATAAATGCCTTTATCTGGTGGTGCCAAACAGCGGCAGCAGCTCCTCTGGACAGCCTTTTGGGTACTGGCCAGTAGCCTCCTGTCAGACAGCTCTGGCCTTGTTGTGCTACTTCTGACAGCTGAGTGTCACTGGCCTCCAGCCGGCTCACCGCACTGCAGCGGCTGGAGGCCTAAGGCGGTTTTCTCCAGAGAAGGAAGTACTGTGTTGTGGGAGAGGGTGCCTTTCACAACAAAGTGCTTTCTCCACAGTGATGTGCTGACATGATGAGACACTAAGAAAAAGAGTAAGTATTTGGTCCCGAGCTGCCTGAAGTTGAACGGATTCCCTGAAGAAGAGTTAGCTACACGAACTTCAGGTGGAGGAGAAACAGGAAAGATCTTAAAGCAGGCCCACTAAGCGTGCAAACAAAGCACACTTCTCCACCAACAACCCGAAGCTGGCCTAACTTCCTCTTGTCGCAATCACAACATAAATCTGCATCCCCTGACCTTGTAAAGTAATGACTTGAACATGATTTTGAGCACACACACAACCTCCTTCACAGCTGGGGCTCTGACTGCTCTCCTCAGGAGGCGACACATGCTGCGGAGCTGGAGGTCACAGACACAGGAGGGGAGGGGGGAGCCAGTGAAACGGCAGGGGAGCGAGGGAGAGGGGTGAGGAACAACAGGAATGACCAGGCTGCTTGCTGCCTCACAGGAAATGGTGAGAGCGGGGGTGGGGTGGTGGAGGGAGGCCTGGGCCAGAGGGGCCCCCGAGAGACAAACTGGTTTCCAAAACTGCTTTACCTCAACCTGCTTTTTGCCTCTGCTGGACTACAGAGAACAATCAGCTCTGAGCAGGAGAAGTGAAAAAGCAGACCACCTACACAGGCGAATGCAGTGTAAGATAACAACACCATCCAAAGAACAAGAAGGGCTTATGTTTGTAAAAGCACAGCAGCAACACAGACATTGTGTTTTTTCAATGCTCTCATGCTGCTTGATCGAGTGTATAACAGGGCTTCGGCTACAAAAACAAGCCTAAACCACACAGTGTGCACTGGTAACAGAGGGAGGCCAGTGATGCACAAAGCCAGTGCTAAACTACAAAGACTGAGCTTGCTAGGACAATAATCTCTTTTGCTGCATGCCTGCAATTATAATGTTAGGTACTGGCTGTAAATTGTGAAATGGTAAGTAATAGCTAACTGTGAGTATACAGACTCCAGTGATCTTAAGCCTTTTCAAATAGGCCTAAGGAAATTTGACTCAGTCAAAAACGAATGTATTTAATCAGGAGACCCATTGGTTGTTGATTGTACACTTTATATTTCAAGTAATTTAGCAGCTTTTTTTCCTGAAACGTAAAAAGGTTCTGTATGCCACATTTAGAGCTTTAATGAAGCAAACCACTATTTGCTATGTAAAAATATAGTTGAGTAATGGCGTCCTGACCAGAGGATGAATGGTGCATTCCATTTGCACCGGAACATCAGAATTTACGGTTTCGTGGATATGTTGCCACGCTGTTTGTATGCACAAAATACAGCGTAATGCACTGTCATCAAAAGGTATTGCTTTCAATGGCTAACCCAGCCAGAACTGGTATTGCTATCAACATCTCAGTTTTCCATCTTGTTATACTGGAACGCTTTCAACTTGGGTGTAACGTCCTTCCTAGCTCCAACCTCCAACTTCCGAGGTAAATGGAACGCAGCAGAAGTTGCGCTCACTCTGTACGTGTTGTAATGCGAGCTACCCTGTGGTTTAGTGTGATAAGACAGTCTGGGCATGTGTGCATGTTAGTCCATGTGTGTAACCCACTAGATAGCTCATTGCTGCTACTTTGCAATTCCTACAGCAGTTACCTCTGATATTGGGACGGGGTTGTCATAGAGGTTGCACTCCACCTTCGGTTCCCCCCTGACTTGAACACCGTTAGCTCTGTCAGCACTGTTGTTGTTGTTTAGCGCTGTTTATGGAGTTAGCATCGTTAGCTCAGCGACCACCAAACTGTGAACTGTGTGCAAACAATTCAAAAGCTCTGAATTTCACAGAGCCCCTTTAATGCTAGCTAGCTTAAAAGCTGAAATCCACTTTCTGAGTTTATAAGCTTTTAAGTGATAGAGAATATTTTGTAAAACTACTATTTCCAAATTCAACAATGAACTTATCTTAGTGAGTACACCACTGTCCTCACAAAAAGCATTTTAGTAAAGTAGAGAATTTTTGGCAGCTTTTTGGCAGCAGCTGTAGAGACTTATTATTTCATCTAACATATTAACACATTTCAAAGTTGACAAATGTGTTTGCAAATAGTTGCCTGAGTCATCTACCAGACACAACACAACATTAGCATCCCTTTGGAGTTGTGTTTCTAGTCAACCAAGAAATATGTTCCCCATACATGCACATTATATTCACTCTCCTTTTATCTCTGTTTTGGTCTCCACCAACATTTACTGTATGCAGTGGGTTTGTCACTACTTGATTGCTGACTGCTACAGCTTCAAGAAAAATCTAAACAATAAGCTAAGAAAAGACTAAAAGGAGCTTTTGAAGTGCAGAGTTGGAGACAACTTCCTGTGGGTTTATCATACGTGACACCTTTTCCATTACACATAGTAATCTAAACCATTGTTAAAATAAAAAAAGAAAGACAAAATAATATGAATTCAAGGCCTACTTACTAAGGATAGACCGATACATCGGCCGGCTGATATATCGAGCCGATATTTGAGTTTTTTACTTGTATCGGCATCGGCCGATACGCGCATGGGTTCGCGGATTTATTTTTCCCTGGCACTTTTTTTCATTTGAAAGTATGTGGTTAAGTTGAACAAAGCTGTTGAATCCTACTGTGTACAGTAGTTGTTGTTTTATTTATACTTCAGCTTAAATATTTGTTTATTTTTATAAAGACATTACTGGAAGATTTAAGAGCACTGAACTCTTTTTTTTATTTGAATGTATAATAATAATAATAATAATAATAATAATAATAATATTCTACCTGTTCTACCTCAACTTTCCATCTTGTTTTAGTATTTTTTACTGTTCAATAAATGTTTCTTATTTTAAACTTGAGACCTGTAATATTTGTTATCATTGTGTCATTTTTTTTATGTAAATTGAGGGAACAAAAGCAGTATCGGCCCCAAATATCGGCACAAGAAAATCGGCAGTCCATAATCGGTCATCGGCTAAGGGTGATGGAAAAAAATCGGTATCGGCATCGGCCCTAAAAAATCCATATCGGTCTATCCCTACTACTTACTACCGTTTGCTAGCTTTTACTAGCTTCCGGAGCTTTAAAGCATGCTAGCTTAAAACAGTGGTTCCCAAATGGTCCAGCCACGGGGTCCAGTTTTCTCCTTAGTCATTAATTCAAGATCCACAAAGTTTAATATATTACGCATCACACTTGCGTTTGGCCATGTCCTCAAACTAGTATGCTGTGTCTGTCAAGTTCATTATTTACTCACTCTACAACAAAAAAGTGGCACTTCAAAATAAAAGCTTGTGCCTGAAATGTTTGCGAACCTCCCACTTTTGAACCGCGACCCACCAGTTGGGAACCACTGGCTTAAAAGCAACTGACTGGACTTTGACTAAATTACTCTGTCTCAGAGGGTATATGAAAAATATAGAATATGTATGTATATGGTAGATGCCTATTGGGTGAAAGACTTTAAAAAAAGGCAATTTTAGAGGAAAAAACAACAAAAAATAGGAAAAGATGAAGGAAAATGGTTAATCGTTAAAGTTGTGTCACAAAGTGTGTGCTAATTTTTGGATTTTAAAGACACTGTTGACGGACAAAATAGGAGGTGCATGCTGATGTGTATACTGTTTCACATCTGCAAAGTGGAAAAAAAAAGAATGAAAAACAGGAACAGCTTGATGTTCAGTGTTGGCTGCTGAACGCTGCTGGGAGATATATAAGTGTAGCATATGTGTGTGATAATGATGGTAACTTAAGACATGTGAACCAGCGCTGACTAAAGGAATGACTGATGGCATGTGAGAGCTGTAAGGAATGTTGAAGGGAAACCAAAAACTGCCAGCTTGGACTGAGCAGACACTTTCAGGTTATAAATCCTGTGGGGGCTGTTATGGTAAGGACTGCAGACCAGGTCCTGGTCTTGTTTAAGAGGGGGCCAGTCTGTGGTCCCTGTGTGTGTGAAGTCTTACCCCAGGATGTGTTCACAGATAAGCCTGCAGTAGTCGCTGTGGGAGCTGGTGATGAGGAGGAGGATCTTCCCGGCATTCTTCATGCTGCGCAGCCAGGTCTTGACAGAGTCAGAGCAGGGCTGCAGGTACCGGCCTGGGTCCCTCTTCACACTGGGGAAGTACGTCCCTGCATCGTCTGTACAAAAACACACACGTAGTCAGACAACTGGCTTTGATTTTTAAGACACGAAACAGATGGAACCATCATGGTCAGTAACACGTGTATAAATAAATCAAATGCTTTGGTCTTCAGACTTACCAGACTTTTTAACACAGTTGAATTATAGCAGATTTTAGACCAATGTGTGACAACACTCTCCATTACCATCAACAAAATACTAAATGCTATTCTGAACTGATGCAACATTGCTTTACTGTACAATTACATTTCAATATTTCAGCATGCAAATAGGACAAAAGTTAAGTTACACCAAGAGTTTGGTGGACATTTAAGGGGAAATTTTGCCAAGTTTCAAACAGCTTTGTGTCCCTGCAGTGTGCAGATGAACGATGTTTGGCTTCCCCTCATTGTTCACTTCACCTGGCGGACCTCCGCCTGCAGTTGCAGCACTAGTGGAAGCCAAACATTGTTCATCTGCCTATACGGCAATGACAAAGAGCCAGTTAAAAACGAACAGGCGAGGCTCAACAGCTTAACAGCTAGAACTAATGTGCAGCCATTACCATGTAAAACAGCCATACAGTATCAAGCACATACACTTTTCAATTACTGATAATTTGACAGATGTTTAAAAGTCATCTAACCAACTCATCAGAGACAAAGAGACAGAGACAGAGACAGCATACAGACAGAGGAGGAAAACTAAACTAAAATTGTGGAATGTACTGAAATAAATAAACCATGCATTTATCAGTGATGTCTACAGAACAACAACTGTGGACTTAAGTCTCCAATAACCAGATTTAATTGTTTTGTAGTGTAACAGTGGTAGCCTATTAGAAGTATGTAAGTATTAACAGTAGTAATTCTGCAGTAACATCTATTTTTTTTCTGAATAGTCAGAAGTGTTGCTGCTACTTTTAATACAGTTTAGTGTTGGTGTAGTTTACCTGCCTCTAGAGAGGAGTAACTGGTAGTTCAACATTTTATTTATCATTTGGTTAATTGCCAAACAAGCTAGCTTGCCAGCTAGCTAGGATGGCTATTGTGTCAGGCTAGTGCTAGCATGTTAGCGGCTAGCTTGACCTTACAAGGAATCACTATCACCAAACTCTCAGTCCCACCCATTACCAGTCAGTGGGGATGCTTGCTAACAGCAGTGGCTAAAATGTTATCAGTTAACTTTCCACCTCTAATTTTCACACGAGCATCCCCCATTTTACAAGGATGTAAGGATGAAAGCTGTGCCACTTTCTGGTGTAACTAGCAACCCTTTACATTAACTGTATAGGACAGTTTTATTGTTGTTTGACATATGATTAAATTTGATTTTATACAGTATTAAGCTATTTTTAAAATATCACTTATTTGTCAAGTAATGACAATCAGAAATCCGATTTGCAGGACAGAAATGATCTGCTTGGCATTTATCCAGGGACTCATCAAAACAAACAAAACAAACAGAGTGGTGCATGGTTGAAACTATTGAAGCACCACAAATGTTCTGATATTGCCATCATCAATAAATGCAAGACACAGACATCGTGAGTGAGAGTGTCTGCATGGTCAGCGTTCTTACACACAGTAAATGTAAACTATGGTTTTAACATTTTGTTGTCTCCACAAGTTAGGAACAAGTTTAAAGCTAATGTTCTTCTCTTAATCCTCCACATTCATATTCACAAAGGTAAAGGGGAGCCCGGAGTCATGCTACCCACTTCTGAGGCTCCGTCAATGGGCTTCCCTCACTTTGAAGCCTCCCAGCTGCCCTTCAGTGCATCCTGTCAGCATATTGCATAGAGCTAAATATGGCAGCGTTATGATCTGTGTTACACAATCCCAGTCCAGCAAAGAATATAACTCTTGGCCTAATGTTCTCAGAAAAGCCTCATGAATATAAAAACCCATGAATAAAACATAAGGGAATAGAGGAACTCGATGCTGATTGACAACATATAATGCTAAGTCCATGTTTCAAGACTAGGTTACGAAATAGTGCAATTTTTCTTGGTAATGGGAGGAAATGTGACAAAATGTTACCTTGAGGGTTTGTAATTAAAGGATATAAGACTTTTTTGTAATCCAGATGAGATACATAGAAAAGTACTTCCCCTCTCCTCTGTGATGCAATTACTTTTAATTGGCGATTTTTAGTAATGTGAAGCACAGAACAAAATTCAAATTTGAGATATGCGCAACCTTATCAAAACAGAAAAATGAGGCAACCTGTACATGGTGTTTGCTCTGGAGCTGAAGAGGATAACCAATAAGTGAAAGGTGCTGTTGCTTCATTCACAAGCAGGAGAAAAGAGGGCTTAGGAAAACAGGGCAGGGTGTGGATGAGTGGTGTGTATTCATGAGCTTAGGTGTTTACCCTGGCAGAGAACGGCAGCCTCTCAGGAGCATCACTGGGCCCTCAGAGCGTCACAGACACAGTCAGAGACTCTGTATACACTGTGGCCCAAGTGTCCTATTTCTGTTTTTTTGCCTGACACATGACACCTCTCTGATGTTTTCCTCTCAGTGTGAACATTAAAAAACTCCATGGAGTTACATTTTTGTGGCAACCTACAAATACAGATCTGACGTTTTGCTAAGGGCCCATTAAAGCTGCAATGTTAATTTTACCCCACATTAGCAATGTTTTAAACCAAGAGACACACTGACAGTGTTGCTAATGTATTATTAGAGGACTGGAGGAGTGGTTGAGAAAAAAAAAAAAAATTAAGTGTTTTCAGACAATGGTGCAAGTATGAAGACAGTTGAGTCACTGAAATCAAATGGGTTTATCCTCTTAGGAGCAAGACAACTGTCTTTTCCATTACAGAATGCCTTGTGTGCACTGTTGACATTTAGACCCTTGAGTGGTGCAAGACGAAAGCTAACAGTATATGAATCCACCAATTTATTGGTCAAACATCAATATTGAACTTGTTGACTGCCATCAGCCTGCAGCAAAGTAAGACGCCATCCTCCAACAACAGTGGCTGATGATTTTCTGTAGTGTCACCTCAGTTTTGTGCAGGTTAAAAAGCAGGGCTCGAGACTAAGGGTGTCCCGTTGGCCCAAGAACAGTAAAAAAATTGTCCCTAGGGCACGTTCGGGATGAAAGGGCGCAGTAAACTCACTATTGACACGTCAGGGGACACACCCTATTGTTTCCTGATAATCCTGATAATGCTACAATATAAATAAGAAATCCTTGATGAAATCGGCAGGAGAAGCACTAGTTAGCGTTAGCTGTTAGCAGCCAATGGCCAGAACTAATAACTAACAGAGGTTGCATTGAGTTTCATTATGATACGTTCAAGCTCTATGCAGTAAAAATGAGTATTAGGCAAAAGTAAATTATATCATTATCCTTATGTGGTCGATGGTAATCTTGTAATTTTAGATTTTGGCAAGAAACTTGAATAAATACAACTATTTCAAGGAAAAATTTGTTGATGTTTCACAGCAATATTATATATAATATTATAAACTTTGTGCGCAGTTATTTAGTTAAGATGTGCTATGTGTGAAAGAAGGTTATATTAAAGGTTGTTTCAAAGATTTGTATGATGGAATTTGTGCTCATTCAAAAGTAGTGTTGAAGGGCTAAGTGAATTCATACAAGATTAGCTGTTTTTTTTTATAGTGAAGAATTCTTTGTTTCGCAGGCACATATGGTAATATGATAAAAAACAACAACAAAAAAAAAACAACCCAACAACAACATAAAACATTGGTATCGCTTTCCAGCTAAATTGTTATTTTTAAATATCTGTATTGGTATCAGCCCAATTGGTGCATCCCTATCATAGTGTGTCCAAAATGGTTCATCCTCATATGAACACCAGTGTGCTCTGTAAATCTCACAGCAATCGGACCACTCACTTTTATTATTTCTTCTTTACAAGCGTTTGATTCAATGGCAGCACTAGCCATAGGGGCAGGAGATCCCACAGATCATGAGAAAACATCCTCAGGAGACTATGAATATTCATAACACATTTCATAGAAGTCATACAAGCTAGTTGCAGATATGTGAACAAAGTAAACAACATTGTTTCCATCCTGAGGCCCTACTGCCAGTAGGGCAAAACATTATAGCCTCAATAACTAATGCAGGGTTAATGTAATATAGTACAGACCATAAGATCACAGTCTCCTAGTTTTAATCACAAGTCAGAGATATCATGACTTTCTAACAAGAGCTCTGATCTGACCAATGCTCCAAAGTTATAAGAATGAAAGGTCTTCCCTTTCTTCTTATTCTGTTAACATGGCATGAATTAATTAATTATTTGCTAATTAACACACAACAAGTTTAATGAAGCTTGCTGCAAGCTCGTATTGACATGGACATGGCCAACATCCTGAAAAATGTACAGCATCTATGATGTCACCTATAGATTCCTGATGGGGCCCTTTGAAGTCTTTCAGTCAGGTTGGGCCTTTTCAAATAGAATTCTATACATTTGGAGATTTTTTTGAAGTTTGTACTGACTGTCCATTAGAGGGATCAGATTTTATGGCACCTCTGCTTATTAAGGTTTCAGTCTTTGAGGTACCTCTGGCTCATGAAGTAAAAAGCCCTGTGGTGTTTACCTAGCACAAAAAAACTGAATAGTGATGTGTCTTTTATTTCTTTCTAAGGCTGAGCATAATGCCCTTAAATCCTTTGATTAGAAATTACCGGCACTGACTCGTGTCTTCTTTGAAATTGCTAAATAACATACCACTCAGTTTTTGTGCATGAGCCAAAAATGTGGATGAATAAAGCAGCTCGTGACAATTCTGCAGTTACAGTTTGAAATGTTTGGACATGCTGCCCTCGTGTGGTGGAACACAGTATGGCCTTGAGTGAGGAAAAGGTTATTTCAGGCTCTAAGAAGGCAGTATAGGGTTCTTACCAGAAGATGACGACAAACACAAACAAGCAAAAGCTAAGATCCCAATCAGGAGCCCAACTTTCACACCTTTGAACATGTCTCAGCTGTAAACATTTGGTTCTGATTTTCACTAAAGTTCTT